GAGCATTGTTTCCTCATTGGTTTGAGTGGTTTTTTCCTGATATCCAGAAGTAAAAAATGTGGCAGGGGCCCAAACAATTGTTAATACTGTTCTTAATTTTTCAGGAGCGTGCCTGGTTTGAAACTGAAAATCGCAGGGAAGTCGCTGCCTACAGAGAAGTTTGCCATTCGGAAATCTCGACGCTACCTTCCCTCAAACCTCGTCCCTTTGCCTGTGCCACCTCTGGTAGGCAGGATACATTTTTTTTTGACCTTCCTATATTTGCCTGTAGCTCAAAATATATGAACACATATGAGATATTTAGAATGTCAGCCTCTTAGGTTACCAACTTGAAACCACTGCAGGAGACTGGTCTGCTCCCTGAACACAGGCTGATTAACGCAAAGAACATGGCACTGGCCATAAGGAGTTAAGCTTGTCGTGTACAAATGTATTGCATGTGCAACTCGCTATTTCAGGTTTCAGACTGAAATACCCTCCAGAGCTTTGCCTCCATTGTGTCTTAGTGTATTTGCTTTGGGGTCCGTGTAGTAGATGTGTTCCATGTGCGAAAGCAGTTCAGGTACAGCTAGAGAGAACGAGCATCGAAGCATGCCTGAACTGGTAGAACTTGTCATTCCGAGTCTTATCAACCTGGCTCTGACTGTTGCAGGCTGAGTTTGTAAGATAAGCATGTATCTGTGGCTGGCAAGACAAAACCAGTCCAGCTCTTTGCAAGCCAGCCCAGATAAGGGCTGTGTAGAGTGGATATATGTCCTGAGAATACTGGCTGATTTTCAGTAAGGTCAGTTGAAAATGTCTGTTCTGGGGACTCATTCATGGGGCCCACAGCTTCCATGAAATTTAATTCTTGGAGAACAGGTGAGAACTGACTTTTCTGAGTTTGCTAAGTGCTACTTTTAACATCAGCATTCTTGACTAAGAGAGCTGTACCTGTGGACAGACATAGCAGTTGAAACATGCAGCCCCTTTCTCAACCCCAGCTGGGATGATTCAAAATTGCTGTGGCAGATGCTTGTTCTTCAGCTTAGAGGCACTAGAGGAGGCTGCAGGGACAAGGAGGGTGCAGAATTGGGGGATGGAAAGCCAGAATCCTGCCTCTATTGGCAGGAGTGGTGGGGGCACAGAAGTTGAAGGCCTGGGGGAGGAGATTCTGGATCTAGCAGGAGTCTGGGAGATGAGGGCAGCCAGAGGCATGCAGGTATGTGGCAGAGATGGGGAGTGCCCTACTGCTGGGAAAACCAGGCTCCAGCTCCCAATCCCCCAGCCTCGCCTCTCTTCTCCTCTCCCCCTCTCAGGAGCAGAGAGGTAGAAAAGGATTGGTGTGGGGGGAACTGAAGAACCAAGCTCTGGAGACAGCATGGGTGTGTGGGGTCTGTTGGAGGGGTCAGAGCAGCGATGTGCAGGGAATGCAATGCACTATAATGCTGGGATTGCTGCCTATGCTGGGAACCCCAGCACACCTCTGGTTGTGGTGTGAGGCTCCTGCTGCAGGAATTCCAGTCCCAGATTCCCAGAACCTGTCCTTTCCCCCTCTCCTTCTAGTGGAGAGGTAGAGGGGGCTGGGGCTGGAGCACCTGGCACTGGAAAACAGGAAGAGAGCAGAGCACTGTGGGATGCTGGAGGACCTATGGGTCCCCTGTGCCTGCCCAGAAGTAACAAAAAGTGAAGCTCTCTAGAAGATATTGCCTTTAGCCCAATAGTTTTATTTGTCTCTGTTTCTTAGACCAACGCGACTACAACCTATATCTGCACTCCAACATAGTACTTCATATAAAAAGATCCTCCTCTGGAGCCCTTTAGCCATTCTGAGAATTGTTTCACACATGTACAGAGGGCCCTTTGAAATGTTTGAATTGTTACGTCTGTCCATGCCCCCTGACAGTAGCTGAGTGCGGATTGGAACAGTCTATCTTCGGTTTCCTTCTTCTGCAGTTCCACTCTCAAGGCAGCAGGTGGCACTCCCTAACAGTTAAACACCAGGGGATTTGTGGGACAGATTTTAACTGAGCTGCTGTCAATTCTAGGACTTCATTGCATGTGAAGGAATTAGCTGGTGAGAAGTAGGTTGTTAACTTAGATTTAGCCTAAAATATTTTGATTTAATGTATGGAATGCAGTCTGAGAACATTTTTTACCCATCTTAGTAACTGAATCTTCACTCGGGACAAGTATAAGTACAGCATAGCCTCCAGTATCATTGCAGAATAGCTCAGCTAAAGCAGGAGTGCTCTTGCATTAAGCACTGCGTAATCCACCTAAATTAATGTTTTCCTATACAGACAGCTCTTGAATGAAACTACTGTTATACAGATGCTGAGGAATGAGAGCCATTTACATTATGACACTCAAATTAAGAAAAGCTTTTGGAAAATGTGGAATGGGAAGTTGTAGTAAGTCTGCATGATGGTTCCTTCCTTAACTTTGCTTCTAGTGCTAGTTGTAATGGTTGTTGCGATGGTCACATCTTATATGAGAAGTTGGAAGGGAACAGTAGAACCCAGTGAACCACACTCATGGAAAAGCCATGTAGAATCAGATAGAAATTAAACCAGTTGGGTTCAGTAGAATGTATCTCCCAAATTTACACAATTTAATAAGAAAGAGATGCTTTCCATAATTTTTTTTAAACAAACCCCAGAGATTTAATAAAGAAATATATCCATGTTCTAGAATTCTGTAGGTTAGTGTAAAGACTGGTGGATTTGAGGAACTAATAAGGCATAACTATTAGTTATTAATAACCTGGTCTTCATTAGAACCGCAGACCAAGGGAAATTAATCAAGGGATGCAGTCTTTGAGTTATCTATTCCTTCAGTCTCTCAACTTGGTAGCTGTCCTTATCAACTACAGAGATGGGGTTGATGTTTTACTCAGTGATCTGCACTGGCGTAGAGTTGGATTACATGGGGCTTCGTAAATCTCTTCCAAAAAAAATGCTCACAATGATCAATCACATTGAGAACATATTATCAGTAATATCTGCTTCTAGTAAAAGAAACATGATATTTTTTGCACTTTGTTGAGAAAATCTAAATTTGCTAACTCCATCTCTTTACTGCCAGATTGATGAGGTTCATGTTCTATGGTTTCTCTTAGGAAATGATGTATATCTGGAATGGTTATGCTGTCATTGGAAAATGTCCTGACCTAACAGAAGGCATGTTGGAGACTTTAACCAAGGCAGAAGCATCATTAGCAAGCCAACCAGGTAACTACCAATCTAACTTAAGCAGATACTTACAATGGAATAGCTAAAGAGGAATTTGATCCAGTCAAACATACTAATCCAATGACAAGAGCGAGCTTGCTCATATAATCTGGAGCACACCATTAATGCAGTTCTAGATTGTCTAGAAGGTATCCTTTGGTTATCTAGCAAACCTGTAGTCCACTTGACCGTAGGCCCTAAAAACCGAGAACGCAATCTCTGCTGTCTTCGGGCCCTTTCAGTCAGGGTAAGAATTATTGACATCTCTCCAGCTGGAGCTTTCTTTCCCTCCAAGAGTACCTAGTTATACTAATAATTCAGTCTGGAAAATGAGCTTTTAAAACAGTCTCCAACTTAGAGACGTTGTTTGAAGTTTGCCTTCTTGTTGCTGTGTGGGAAAACCAATATAGTCCAGTAGGGCACCCGTGGCTGACTGCAAAGAAAGTCCTGTCTCATGCACAAAGGAGATACTAGAAACAGATTGTTTTTCATTTAATTTCTTTCAGTTTAACCTTGATTTTTTGTTGTTGACAATACCTATTTAAATAGCAGCATACTATTGTATTGCTAACATAGGTGGTAGGGATCACTAAAATGATATTTATTTATTGATCTGAGTGCACAGAAATGGGATGGCAGTGAGAGGAGATTAAAAGACCATGGGGAATTCAGTTGCTCTCTATAAATACACTGGGGAGGAGAAATAATGCTGGAGGGAATGAGAAGAACCATTAAAATTAAAGGACAATGTTGGCACAGAACAAATAGATGTAAACTGACCATGAATAAATCAGAAGGTGGTTTCTAACCACCAGAGCTGTGAAGATCTGGAACATCTCATCATCAGACCCTTGATGTGAGGATGACAGTCTTCCAGTAAATAGGGAAGTCATCAGTGAGTCCATAGATGACTGAGGAACTCAATCTGAGATCCACAAGCTCAACTGCAGGTCTGACAAATCGTTCCCGGAATAAGGAGTAGATCCTGGTGATGTCAGGTCACAGCTCTTTCCGTTGTTTCATCTGTCCACCTCCCTAGCGAGGTGAGTTTGCTTAAAATGACTGAGACTTTGTCATACATCTTGGCACCACAGGGGACAATTCACTACTTTAGTCTCCCAGGTATTGATGTTAATATTACACTTTTTCAGATTGGCTTTCAAGGTGTTCTTGACTTTCTTCTTTTGCCCACCTCTGAAGCAGTGATCATTGGTGAGTTGGGATTTTAGGACCTGTTTTGGGAGCTGGTTGTCAGGCATCATTATCACATGATGAACTGGTGCTGTATCAACATGGTGCTAACACTAGAGGTGTTTGCTTGAACCAGAATATTGGCATTTGTTCTTCTCTCCTTCCAATTGATATGGAGGATTTTCCAAACACCACTGATGGTAACATTTGAAAGCTTTCAGGCGTTTCCTATGTCATCCAAGTTTCACACCCATACAGCAGGGTAGGGATCACAACCGCCTGGTAGACAAGTTGAGTTTAGGCCCTGTGTCATGATAATCAAAGGCATGATTTCAGAAACGTCTGAGGAATGAGATGTGGAATAGTTGTGATAGAGATGGAGAAGAGTATTGGTGCACTCCTTGGTGTACACAGCATTTCTTGATTCCAGTTTTAATAAGGAAGGGATGTAGGTTGTAGCTGTGTTGGTCTAAGGACACAGGCAGACAAGGTTCCTTGGGTGAATTTGATATCTGCATTTCTGAGGCATTGCTTAGGATAATTCCTGTCCTGTTGTTGTGAAGAAGTCTGATAATGGTAACAAATTTTGGTGGGCATTCAGATCTCATCAGGATCTTCCAAAGGGCCTTTCTACTGATTTGAATCAAAGGTCTTAGGTCAAGGAAGGCCATAGGCTGTGAACAACACCAAAATCTTTACTACTTCTACAGCTGTATAGCAACAAAGATCACATCAGTTGTACCTGTGAGTGGTCTGAAACCACATTGGGATTTGGATAGAATCTCCTTGGCAAGGAAAGTGAGTCTCTTGAGGAGAATACAGGTACAGATCTTGATCTCCAGCTGTGAGGAGGAAGGAATACCATGATCATTTCTCCAATCTGATCTATCTCCTTTCTTGAATATGGTAACAGTTCTGGCATCACTCAAGTCACTGGGAATTTATTTTCCAGATTTTGATAATAACAATGTGTAGTTGATGAAAGAGTTCATAGATTTCATAGACATTTGGGCTGGAAGGGACCCTGGGGGATCATCGAGTCCAGCCCCCTGCCTCATGGGCAGGAATTCAGCAGGGATCATAGGATTCCCAGCAAGATAAGCATCCAAATGTGTCTTGAAGGCATTCAGAGTGGGTGCTTGAGCCGCCTCCGGTGGCAATCTATTCTAAACCCTGGGGGCTCGGACAGTAAAGAAGTTCTTCCTTATGTCCAGCCTGAATCAGTCGCGGCAGAGCTTGTGACCATTCGATCTTGTCATCCCTTGGGGCGCTCTGCTGAGCAGATGTTCCCCCAGATCCTGATGAACACCGCTGATAAACTTATAGGCAGCCACCAGATCACCCCTGAGCCTGCGCTTTTCCAGGCTAAAGAGCCCCATGGCTCTCAGCCTCTCATCATAAGGTCTGTTTTCTTGACCTCTGACCATGCACGTGGTTCTTCTCTGGACTCTCTCAAGCTTCTCCACATCCTTTTTGAATTGTGCAGCCCAAAACTGGATGCAGCACTCCAGCTGCGGCCTCCCAAGTACAACGGGAGAATGACGTCCCGGGATTTGCTTGAGAAGCATCTATGGATGCAAGCAAGCATTTTGCTTGCTTTACTAGCTGCAGCATCACACTGCAGGCTCATGTTCATCTTGTGGTCAACCATGACCCCCCAAGTCCCTTTCATCTGTAGTGCTAACCAGCGTACCACTGCTGAGCCTATAACCATGCTGCAGGTTTTTCCTCCCAAGGTGCAGAACCTTACATTTTTCAGTGTTGAACACTGTCAGGTTCTCGTCCGCCCATTTCATGAGCCTGTCAAGATCTGCCTGGATCACCCTCCTGTCCTCAGGTGGACACAGCGTGATATGTGTGGACACTTTACCCCAGAGCTTGGTGTTGTTGGCAAACTTGGCCAGTCCGCTTCTGACACCAATGTCCACATCATTGATGAAGATGTTAAACAGTATAGGCCCAAGGACAGAGCCTTGAAGGACCCCACTGGTGACTGCGCACCATGATGATTGGCTCCTGTTGACCACCACCCTCTGGGTCCTACCGTGGAGCCAGTTCCCCAGCCAGCGGATCGTGGTGAGGTCGAGGCCAGTTAGCCAGTTTTGCCAAGAGGTGATAATGGGATACCAGATCAAAGGCTTTTTTAAAGTCAAGATATACAACATCAAACTGTTCCCTCTTTTCCAGGTGATAGGTCACCTGGTCATAAAAGGAAATGAGATTGGTCAAACAAGGCCTACCCACAACAAACCCGTGCTGGCTATCCCTCAGGGTGTTGTCGTCAGCTAGTCTGTTAAGGATGAACCCTTTGATAATCTTTTCCAAGACCTTCCCCAGGATAGAGGTCAGGCTGATGGGCTTGTAGTTTGCCAGATCCACTTTCCTCCATTTCTTGAAGATTGGCACCACATTGGCCTTCTTCCAGTCTTCGGGCACTACACCAGAGCACCAGGAATTCTCAAAGATCTGTGCCAAGGACTGAGCTATGATGCTCGCCAGCTCCTTGAGTACCCTTGGGTGTAACCCATCAGGGCCGGTGGACTTGAAGGTATCCAGCCTGTCAAGGTGTTCCTTCACGAGGTCAGCTTGGATGGATGGAAAGGAATCTCCCTCACCCAGGCCTCCCTGACCCACAGTGGGCAGGGGTGTCCCACGGGACTGATGAAAAACAACCACAGGACTGAAGTTTTTTCCCATCTTGCTGTTAAATTTCAGCTGATATTCCATCACAACCACATGCTTTGTTGTTCATCTGCTTAGTGGCTTTCAAGGCCTCTTGATAAGTTGGTGCACCTGCAAGGTAGTTCTTAATGGGATGTTGTGACATGGCTTCAGTGGTATTGTCTTTGAAATTAGAAACTCAGTTCAGGATATCTTAAAAGTCCTTTTTCTGCCATACCTTGATGGTACACCTGTCCTTAAAGAGTGTTGTTCCTTGGACCTCTGAGGGACAGCTCCTTGTATGTTTGGCCCATAGATAGTTTTGTTTGTGCTAAAGAAACTATATGTGTTTCGGCTGTCGAGAAACTGTTGAATCTCTTTTGCTTTGTCCTCCCACTACTTCAGGGGTGGGCAAAATGCAGACCATATCTGGCCCGCCAACTGATCCTATTAGTCCTGCTGGCTGATGCTGGGAGTCTGAAGAGGGAGGGTTGAGCTGCTCCGTTCTGCAGTGCACCAAGTAGCCTTCCCACCCGTTGCAAGGAGCTGCTGCTGTCACAGCATCGCTAGGAGGCGAGTCTGTGTCGGCTTCAGGTGGGGCTCGGCCTGGGGCAGCCACCCCCGACTTCCTTAGTGTGGCATGGTGGCAATGGGTCAGTGTGGTGGGAGGGGCGAGCAGGACACCTGTTTGGCACACTGCATCACATCCCATCATGTGCAGGCCTGGCTGCCAGTGCCATGATGCCAGAACTGTGCAGCGCCAACAGGAAGTCGGGCTGGGGTAGGGGGGATGGATATGGGGGGTGGAGGAGTCTGCGCGCTGTGTCCCCTGGCCCTGGCTGTGGCAGAGAAGAGCGGCGCAAGGTGCAGCCCTCCCTCCTCAGGCTCCTGGTGGTGGGCAGTGGGCTGGACAGCTCAGTTGGCATCTCCCACTGCCCTCCTTCCCTCTCTCAGCCCCGACAGCTCACCAAAACTCATTAAGTGGCCCTCCAGCCCAAATAATTGCCCACCTCTGCACCACTTGATCTTCTGCCCTTAACTTTTCCTCTGGGTCTTGGCTTTGATGTGGCAATAAGCATCTTGCTTCTGTTTGGAGTTGATGCCATTCTGCCAGGCTTTGAAGGCCTGCCTTTTTCTGTCAGCGAAAGCTTGCATTTCCCTGTCAGTCTCATCAAACCGTTCCTGATATTTCTGGATTCTCAGCGAACCATTCCTGATGTGGAGAAACCTAGAGATTCTTTGCCAACCTCACAGGTACTTTTCTTGAGACTCTCCCAATGATTGATGTACCAAGAGTATCAGGGAATTTTTCACTGCTGAAGATGTTTCCTTTTGGCAGGGTCTTTCACACACTCAATATTGAACCACTTTCTTGGTGTGCTTCTTTTATTTTCATTGTCTTGGGGGTGATACAAATGAACATGATGGGAAGTATCAGATGATGATCTGTCCAGCAGTCATCTGCGCCGGTCACAGCTCTGGTGATTCGGATGTCACGATGGTCCCAGGCATGCACTATGACATGGTCAGTCAGGTGCCAGTGTTTTGAGCAGGAGTGCAACCATGGTGTCTTTCATGTGTTGCTTTGGCAGAATAAAGAGTTCTTGATGATGAGATCATGTTTCCAACACTTGTTTCGCTGAAGAATTCCATTTGAATTGAATTTACCCACCCCTTCCTTTCCAAGTGTTGTGATTGTCTGCTATAACAGGAGACTGGATTTGATGACCTAATCCAAAAGGTCCTGTCCTGAACAGGCCAGATGGACACTGTTTTGATACAGATAAGTAAGTATTACTGCTCTGAAGATCTCCAGCTGTTTGAAAAAAGATTTTGAGATATGCCTTCTAACTTCCAAGTATGTATTTTATCTTGTAGCTACAGAATTACTACCAGATGACCAGTGTTTAATAAAGCTGTTGAAGGGTTTATGTCTCAAGCACTTGGGCAAGATTTCAGAGGCTGAAGATCATTTTACCTACATCCATATGAAGTAAGTTTTGTAGACAGGAGAATCCTAAGAAGTCCTGCATGATTTGTAGCCTCTGGGAATGGACAGACAAACATGTACCCTGTGATAATTTACATCGTTTTTGTATACCAATGTAACTTATACAGGAGACCCTTGCCATTCGCGGGGGAGACGTTCTCATATCCCCTGCGAATGGCAAAATCCGTGAATAAGGCACTGTGTTCGTGAATGCAGTACCCCCGGCGGCTGTGGGGGCACGGCTGTGCTGGCGACGGCAGCGGTGGGAGCCCGGCGGTGGCAAGCGCAGAGCTCCTGAGGAGCTCCTTTAAGTGTATTTAAGATACAGGTTCAGCATTCACGAATATTTGAAACCACAAATGCCAAACCCACAAATAGCGAGGGTTTCCTGTACCAGGATTAGGAATAGACATACATGCAGCTCTTGAAGGGTATCTCACGTAGTAGGTAGCTGTTGTTGTTCCTTGCTTCTGGGCAGCAGTAATAACCTGTTTGCCTTTAGCAAATGGCTTCCCAAGGTTGGGCACAAAAAGATGATGCCTAAACCAATGATTATATCAATACGTTTTTATCCTGATTATTTCAGGGTTAAATTTTCCACTGGACTGAGTGATGTAAACCCTTAAACTGGGGTAACTTCATCTGTCTGCTACTTTTTTACAGTGGCAGAATGCTGATTACACAAACATAACGTAAAACTGATTACACGGGCACAAACGCATCATTTGTCCATGTCCTCAAGCTGTCAAGTCCTGAGAGTGGAGTTCTGTTCTGTAAGTCATGTGAAAACGCCACTATTTTACTCAGCAGATCTGCAGTCTGTGTATTGAGAGTTCCATCTGCTGACTTCAGTGACAAAAGTGCTTTTATGCCATTTTCTCTTCTGTTAGCCTTGCAGAGTCAACACAACTGAGTGTGAAAGAGTGGGATTCCATTATTTCTTGTGCTTTTTCAACAGAATTGTTTGTAGCGGTACAAACCCACTGAAAGCGAAGGTGCCACTCGGGGCATAATTTTGTTCTGCGGAGCCTGTGTGGGATTCTGTGTGAAAAGGGAAGAACCCAGCTTGACTGAATTTGCAAGGCAGGCAGATAGGAAAAACATTGTGCGTGAGCACGTTAGACAGAGAATCCTTGAGCCACAGTAAACCTGTAATCCCTTAGTCCCATTTTAATTTTGTTGTCTGGAGGGGAATCTCATTTTAATGCAGCCGACCGAGACTGTTGAGATACGGATGCTTGCAGAGCTTTTCCACTGGAAGAATTTTGAAATGGCAGATGGGGAGAACGTATCTCGACTGCGATGTTCCAGACTGCTCGCAAGTGAACACACTCTTCGCTTTTCTCTTACCAAATTTTATTTTCTGGAGTTTTGTGAAAGAAACTGATTTTCTAGGCTCTTTTCAGGCTGCTGACCCAGAGCCTGCAGCTTGTTCAGTGTGGGGCACTGCTTCCAGGCAGTGTTTCCTAAATGGTGAGGGCTGCCTGCCTAAGCAGCAGAACTGGGGCTTTAATCTCACCGTGCTTCTGTCAAGCATTTAAGAACAGACTGTGCAGATGTTTATCCAGAAAAGTTCAGACCGGAGTGATCATGCCTATAGATTGGGCTGGACTAGCTGGTCTCTTGAGGTCTGTATAACAACCGGTGGCCACAACAATAAACGTTGGTGCTGGGGTTTTTTTGCAGCAGATATGTTTGTTTTATGGAGGGAGATCACGAGCAGCCCAGAGCTGCTTGTGCTCTCCAGCCACCCCAGGCTGGGAATTCTCCTGCAGGACCAGGCCCCTGAAGCCCTGAGAGCACCTGCCTGGGTTTCCCTGCTTGCAGAGGCACGCCCAGGGAGTCTCTCAGCAGGGGATTCTCTGGGTGTGCATGTCTTGCTGCAGTGCCCCAGTTTGGAATATCGGGCAATGTCTCTGTCACCCAGCGAAGTGGAAAAGCTCTGCTGGGACACATCCCGGCACAGCCGATCCTGCTCCAAGGATGACATGTTTATAGTGTAAACAGCATGGGTGTAAGCAGCTCAGTAGAACCTGATACTGCCTTAAAGGCAAGCTTTAATGAGAAACCCAACTTTAAAGCAGCTAAGACTTTGCCTTCAGCAACAAAGGGAAAAAAAGATGTTTTTTAGTGTGTGTCTGCTACTACATGATAAAATCCCAGCAAAGACGAAGGAATTTGTTGTTTTCACAAACTGCCCTAATGAGATTCTCACAGCTGTAAAAGAAAAGGCCCCCACATAAATTTTAACTCAACCTATTCACTTGTGTGAAAACTGCAGTGCTTTGTCTTCACTAAGATTTTACCTCCAGTTAGCTAACTTGAGTTAAGAAAAAAACCCTTTTTATCATGATGAAGACTAGACCAAAGGGAGATTGCAGAGTGCCTGAAATAATAGTTTCTCACTAGCTCACAATTCCAGACGCGAAGATGTAAATGCCAGTATTGTTACCCATCTCTTTCTCCGTATAAGAAAGATCTGAGACCTTCAAGTGGGTGATTTTTAAAGGATAGCACCACTTTTATTTTTTCTCACCCAGTCATGAGGAAGATGAGGAGGTCTTATTTTTTTCCCACTCAGTCATGGGTATACTGAAGTCTATCTAGGTGAGAGCCAGAGTCAAAGAACCAAATAGTTGCACAATCCTCAGCGAACAGCATCTCATCCTGGCAGCACGTGGGCAAAACTTATTCTGTGGATGAGCAGGTCTTTGCTGTGAAAGAGACATTGGGGTGCCAGTGAAACCGGGCACACCTTGGGGCTGACATCTGCCTTAGTGTACACCTGGACAATCCCACTCTCCTGGGCTAAGGCAGTAAGACATCTACATTACCTTTATTTGGGGTATAGCATGTACCAACCAGGCCTGGCATGCCATACTGCAGTACTCCCCCGTCTGGTCCTTTGACACTGTAGACTTGCCCTTAGAGAGCCACCACCTTTTTTACTCTCCTGCTAAGAAGAGTTACATGTGTAAGGTTGGTCCCATATCACCGTGCAGAACAGAGCACTCATTGAATAACCTAGGACTTGTCTTAAGATAGGGAGGGTGATGACCATCATAGTGACATGGATTATTTCTCTGAAACTCAGTTGTTCTGGTGATTTGTAGTTGGAACTATTAATGAGAGAAAACTTCAGCATGAACTGCTCGTTAATAATGCTTCTCTTCCTCTTCCAGTGAAAAGAAGATAAAGTACGACCACTATCTAATTCCAAATGCCCTGCTTGAGCTTGCTGTGCTGTACCTAGACAATGGCAGGAAAGAAGAAGGAGTAAAGTTACTGGAAAAAGCCAAGTAAGATTACTAAGCACATGTTCAGATAGCTGACTTGTACTGATTCCTTAAATCAACCTGACAAGTCAGGAAGCAGAAATTGTTTGATAAACACAGGGGTTACGATATGATAGCAATGCCTCATGATCTCACCAAAATGAGACAGGCATTGCCCAAATACTTAAGAATATAGGTCTGGAAGGGGCTGTCTGCGCCACCTGGGGAAAAGGAGCCCTAAGGAGCTTCCAGTCTAACCAAGGGCCGGGAGTGGAAAACAGAGGCACCAAGTAGTGGAAGAGCTGGGGACAGCACTCGCCCCCAGAGTCTGTCTGTAGCCTTCTTTGCCACGTGACACTGCCATATAACACATCCAGAGAGACTGTACTGCTTGGAAAGCTGCTTTAGGTGCTGAGAAGTCAGCTTTATATTTCCTAGCCTGGCTATCAGGGTTTCCCATCAGAAATCACTCCTGAACAACATGAAGTAACTGCCTCTCCGGGTAACTTTATTTTTCAAAAGAGGTGCATTGAATGAATTCAAGAACATGTAGCAGAAAAATACCAACTCAGTTTGCTGGCCAGCAGTGCTCTTTTCTTCCACCACGTTCTTAAACACGTGTAGTAAAAGTAACTTTCAGGCAACGTCTTTGCCTCTGCTGTTTTAGGTGCCTGTGAAAAGCAGCAGAAGCACTTAGCTTCTCCAAAAAAAAAAAAAAAAAAATCCAAACGAAGCAGTACAGTAGGGACAACATTATCAATTAATCAGGAATGTCTGGGCTTGATCATGTACTTACCTCAGCAGAGTCAACAAACTGTATCCTGCCCCTGCACAGTTCTCAGCTCTCTTGCTGAGCCAAAATTTCTTCCTGAGAAAACTGCTTGGCATTGTGCTGTCCAGACACCTCGTGTAAACATGTTTTAATATACCCTTTCAATGCCCTTGTGAGCTGAGTAGGCAGTCCTCCAGTTTACACAAAAGGAAGGGTGGTGATGTAGCCTGTTCGAAGTGGAGCCAGGACTAAAACGCAGGGTTCCTGACTCCCACCCCAGTGATTAGGACCCCGGACTGGGCAGCCTCTCGGAGAGAATGTTTTTAATAACAAAATCCTCATTAGGAAGCTTAGTTGAAAGTGTTTTGATGCTTTCACTTCATGCACCCAAAATGGCCCCTTTTTTTCTTTTCCAAGTCTATATTTGAAGGAGAACAAAACAGCAAACAAGGTCTGGATATGAAAAGTCCAGGACAACTCATTCTGCCCAATCTTTCATCCCTTGCTACTCAAGGACTGTCCCCAGCATGTGCCTTGAGTCAGCAGCTCCAAAAGCCCAGCCTGGACATGGCAGCAGTGTAGTTAAAACATGTCATAAATGCTTAGAAAATATTTAAAGCTTATTTGTTTGAACATGTGGCTCCACAAGCATTGGAGCGGGGGAAACGAGCTGAGAAGCATGGCATCCTGTCACCATTTGAAGCCAACAGGGCTGTTTTGGTCTCTGGGCCGGTGTAGCAGGACAAGTTAACACTGGGGCTGTCTTCAGCCTGCTTCAAAAGAGCTGGACAGCAAGCAAAGGTCGCCGTCTTCACCTTGGAAGGAAAAACCACCTGTAACTGAGTGTCTGTGACTTCCAGCCTGAGCAGTGTGTTCCTGCCAGGGGCTGTTTCTGTGCTGCGTGGACGTGTCCTTGACTTCCCATGGGAAGCTCTTTCAGCCTTCCCTTTGGAACAGGTACTGCGGTTTCCTAAGAGTGGGGTAAACCCTGCTGATGCTGATCCACGTCCTGTCGAATACAACATTCATTCTAGACACCTCCAAAACAAAACTGCCTGTCTAACTACATCTGGTGCTCCTAGGGGGTTAGCAAAGCACTTGCTTTTTGGTTCACTGTGCTGTTGCTTTCAAGGGACGAGAATACTTCACAGCGGAGTCAGAATCGTGGTAGGTAGATTCATTCTCAACATTTAACCCTGCAGATGCAAAGGCTTTCTATATTCCCAGCTTGGAACTGGAAGTTTCCCTTTAGCCACCAGAGGGAGAACTGGCCGTGTCAGGTGGTTTCCAGCCCAGCAGCTTCATGTTTGCAACTCTCAAGTGGAGATGAGTGCACTGCTTGCCAAATGACGCCAGCTTTGACTTAAATCTGTATGCACAACAGACTTGAGTGGTGCAGCTGTGGAGAGTGTGGTAAATGAGGAACATTTCAGGCAGCTTGACAGTACCTAGAAACACTTCCGTTGATATTGCCATCTGCTGCAAGCAGCATTCTTAGCGAGGAGAGGGTGCAAGTCGGTGTGGTTGGCACAATCAGGGTAATGCAAATACACGGGCATTTGAGATCAGCACGGCAGCCTTGTGGATGGCACAAGCAGCACCTAGCTTATTGGTTAGGTTTCAGTTTGCCGCAGTGGGGAGAAGTGGGGTGATCAGGCTGTCGTTCCTCCTTTCATGTCGGCCCCACGCTCCCAGGCTGGCTGTCAATTATTCAAGCAGCATTTGAATGCTTTTGAAAAATACAGAAACTGCTTAGGACTTCATCTGTAACCCCCAAATGTCAAGTAGCTTTTGAAAGGTAAATGGCCATGCTCTTGACCTGCCAGGACCCATGTTCTGTATTTGTCCTGCAGAGTAGAGGCGGCGACACCTAGAACAGAGCTGTACGTGGATGGCCTCCCTGGACTTTACCTCTCAGGAGAAATAAATGCACTCAGCTCACTGTGAGTTGCTGTAACTGGCTGGAGCCTTGCACATGTGCTGCTGGGAGCAAAATCCACAGGCCAGTCCGTGGCACCGAGTCAGGCTCTGGGCATGCAGAGGGGAAAGGAATCTGCCTTTCCCTTCTAGGCTGATGGGCTGCTCCCTGCTGGCTGTTTTACCTCAGTAGCCGGAGCAGCCTGCGCACCTTCCTGCAGGCCCCTGCCCTGACTCCCATAGCAGCAGACCAGGCAGCCTCGCTCAACCCCCTGCACACCATGCACTCAGGTCTTCTTGAACAGAGCAGTGGATTTGCCCCCATTGGTTTGGAGATCGCAAATAGCTTTTTGTATCTCTGCTTAAAATATTTCTGTCCTACTTGGGTCTCCTCTTGGTTCATCTTTTCTCTGCCACACTGCAGATGGGTAAAATCCAGGCATGAAGTGGTGAAGTAAACATGCAGTATGTCAGGTTCCTTCTGCACTTTGGCCACGTTCCTTCCTTAGCCGTGGCTGTCCTTCATTACTGTAGTGCCTTGATTCACTCTTGCAGTTCAGTTAGAGCATGACAGTCTATGCTCCAAGTAGCTTGCATGATGCAGGAGCTCTGGTCTCGGTGACTGCACATTTCAGCTCTTTTTACTTGAGCTCTCACCTCTTGTAGTCTGCTGAAGAAACTGAAGCAACCTGAGGAAAGTAGCATTGGGAACACGTCTTCTCACATCCTCACACACAATGTCAAAATTTAGGCTAAGACCTTAAAAACAATCCTCACCCATGTTACACTACATATGAAAATCTAACTGGATTCTTCAGTTAAGTTTGATTCTCTCGCTAGGGTTCCTACCTGTAACAATGTGCTTGACTTCACGTCCGTATCTACGTGTCCTGGGTAACAGCGCTGAAATTCTTGGCTTACATCTGTGCAGCAAAACGGTTGTGTTCCTGTCCTCACCTTATTAAAATTTTGTTAAGATTACAGATGCTTGGCTTCATAGTAATGTCGAGTAAAATCTGGAAAATAAAATAAATCTGATTTCTAGGCATAAATTAAGTTGACACTATGGATATTTAATGTACACTTAACATTTTGATTGAGTGGAACAGATTCGATTTCTTATCAAACTATATTTTCCCTGGTAATTGCCAGACACTAGTACTACAAATAAAAGCACAGAGCTGCATTGTTCTGCTAAGCACACATGCCTTGTATTTTAGAGTAGGCAACAAAGGAGATGGTGAGAACAGGCTTTTCTTGCTGTCTGCAGTTGTGGTGTTTAGTACAATTAATATAAAGATAAGCAGAAAATGTTTAGAGCTGGTATGTTTATCAGAATGGATCTGCTTTTGTTGTAGACAAAATTACAAGAATTATTCCATGGAAACGAGGACACATTTCAGAATTCAAGCTGCCTTGCACCAAGCCAGATCAGTCCCAGAAAATGGAGTGCATTCTGGAGCCTCGGCGGTGTTGTAACGTTTCCTTCTTTGATGGAGTTTGTCTACAGACTTTGAAACACAAAATTACCGAGACGTCAGGGTGAATTTTTTTTCCCCTGCTTCAATCTCAAGCTTGTGTTGAGAGACCGGGACATTTGAAACTTTAAATTGAATCTGGTACTGTACATCACAGCGGGGAAAAAATTCAAATTGAATCCTAACTTCTAGCAAAGATGTCTTTTCCCTGCGTGGCTTTTGGCATCCATGTCTGTAATTCATAATTCATATGTGTATTTGATTTTTAACCGTTTACAGATTTGCTTAGTATGCTGGAATATGAAATAGGACAATGAAACAAGCCTTTTTAGGTTCGTTGGCTTTTGATCTTTTATTAACATCTGTTTGAATTCACACTGCTACTGCTGTAAGAAAGGAAATGCCAGTCTCTCAGCTGGTTAGCTGGAATAGTGTGAGGACATCCAAGGCCAGTTTTTTCAGATTAGTTTAAGGCGCACAACAGTGAGGAGGCTTTGAATTTCGGGCATGTCCAGTTCTTTGTGCAAAGCCCTTTACCAGCTTTTCTCTGCAATAATTTTCTAGCTGCCAAAACAAACTTGCTAGTAAAACCCATTAAGAAACTTCTCTCTTAAGCAAGTCATTTTTTTAAATCTCAGTCTGTCTGCTACCCTTTTTGGAGGCTGGATCATTTACGGAATATCAAGAGTTTTAGGGAAAAGCAAATGAAGATGACAGTGGAAAAGAAGATCATTTCTCCTCCTTCAGCGACATTTAAAATGACAAGAGAGCTTTAAGAAACAAACCTGTATCCTTTACAGATGGAACATGACTGGAAGTTTTATCGTTAAATCTGAGTCCTTGAAGCTCACTTAAGAAACTCAGTGTTTGTTCTACTATTTGTTCAGCAGCACACAATGCATTTGCTGATAAACTCGTTCCCAGAATCCTGGTTCTTGGGCTCCCAGAACTGACGTTTCCAAAGCTAAAGGGATTACACAGTAGTTTTTCTGGTCTAGGAAGCTTGGGCTGGAGCAAAACTTCTGTAATTTTTCCTCGGTTACAAAAGGGAGCAGTAGTGCTTCAGTCTTAACGCCCCCCTCCCCGTCCCCATGTTTGCATCTCCATAGATGACTTGGCTTCGACTCTTGAAGGCAGGGCAAGGGACTAGCGCCTCAGCCAGGCCTTGTCTGCTGTAGAATTGTTGGTTTTCTGCACAAAAGGCCAGGTTAGAGTTAACCTGGTTTGAGGTGAATCCTGCCCTCTCCCAGGGGTTTTGTGTTGGGAGGGAAAGACATGTTTTTGCAGGCGAGCTCCTGCCTACCACCAGGATTACCGGGGATGAGGAGGGCCTCTAAGCTCCACAGCCCCTCTCTCTGAAGGTAGGGTCTTCAGGAAGGCTCACGTCCCCAAACATCACCAAGGGGAATATTCCCTCCTCTTCGGTCCAGGGATGGGGGGAGGTTCCCCATAACAGAAAGGGAGTCTTGACAGATTCTCTTCCTCTTCCAGAGAAGTGAAATAGTTTCCTAAAGCAAACTAATATTGTAGGGGGCAGACCCACCTTTTTCCCCAACCCTGATTGCTTGACAACTTTCAGCTTGGGCGCCTACAGCAAACGTAGAGCCTTTGTAAAAATCTCCCCCATTTAGAAGCACAGGTGCAGAATGCACTTCCTCCAAAAGCAGTGTTACCAGCTCTACGTGATCCGAGCAGTCCACTCGGGGCAGTCAGTTACTGTTTACATATTATGCATCAAGTGAAATGGAAAAAGCAGAGACTTTGCTGTTCCTTATATTTGTATACAATAAACAGTTTTGTTCGACTTCATACAGGTCACCTCTGCTTGCCATTGCGCCCTCTTCTTCAAGTAGCTTAGCAACATAGGTATATTTTGATGAGAAATGCCATGAAAATTATGATTGCTGGTGCTTTTCATAAAGCCCTCTGGACTCCAGTTCCACCTCCCAAGGGGGGCTGTAACGTATTTTTAATATTTTGCCACCTCTCAGCATGCTTGGAGTTGCCTACCAAGGGAGGTCAGTGTTTGGATCACCTAGCAAAAGCATTGGGGGAAAAAATGGAGTGTCATTCACATTCTCTTGCACATGCTGTGCAAGAGGAGGGAAGTCCTGCAGCCCAGACTCTGCTTTCCTAGTGCTCTGGGGAGATGATAATCACCTCACTTGACTCCTCAGGACTTTTCACAGGTCATTTCTGATTCAGTCTTTGCAGTCAAGGATACTTTATACTTGATCTTTGGCCAAGATATTGAGATTTGAAGCTGTGATAGTCTGCTGCTGTTGTGGATTGCCTATCATCTGAAGGCACTTTTCTTCCAGGGAACAAGAAAGGTCCATGAGCTGGTGATCTGATCCACAGTTGGAATGCACAAGATCAGCTGATAGATGAGGACAGCTGGTTGAGATGGAGTCCCTTGCAAGATGGACTTCATTCTGGGGGGCAGAGAAGAATTTTGAAGAGTTTTGAGTCCTGATGCAGGCTCCTGGGGTGTTGGTTGTTTGGTTCAGCCTGTAGAAATACTGTTGGAGTCTCCACTAATGTTAAGATCGTATACCAGCACACAGAGGTGTTAATCTGCATTAGTCTGACATCAGGCAGGAGACAGGGTGAGGTCACGCTTTAGAAGCTAGCTGCTTCAGAGAAGCAGGAGCTTTTGTAGGCACCAACCTATTTTGTCAGCTGCTATGAATAGACTGGGTGGGACTAGAAGGAGGTCCCTTCCAGCCCTACTTCACTATGCTTTCTATGATATAGATGGGAAAAGGACAGGGGAAGGAGATGCTGTTGAGAGGTAGTAAGTGGGTTTATTAGCTCAGTGAAGATGAACAAGGTAGTTAACACCTGGAGGAACACCAGAGTTCGTACGCTATGGATGCATCACTTGCATATCAGGCCATGCTTTGTGTCATATCCAGTTGGCTAGAAACTTCCCTGTTCTGGTAGACATGGACCTGACCTTGGTGACTTACACCAGGGCATCAAACATATGGTTTGTGGGCTGGATCCAGCCATCAGAGCCACTGGGCCACTGGAAGTTGTGGGGCGTGGCAAGGGGGCATTGGCTGCTGCAGACAGTGTATACGTAGGTGGGTGAGCAAGGACTCAACCCAATCCTGGTCATCCTCTGGCCACTTTGTCACCACCAAGGTGGTTCCAGGTCCTCAGTTTCCAGCCCTGCTGCTGCCTACCTGTCCCATGCTGAAGCTAGAGCTGTCACTACCATGTTCTCTGTGCTGGAGCCAGGCTGCCACCCTGGTGTATGGCACACGCTAGGAGCTGGAGCCACTACTACCACACTGGGGAGGAGCTGGAGCTGCTGCTGCCTGGGCCACCTCATGCCCTGGGCTGGATCTGGGCTGCAGGGAGCCCTGCAGTCAGAAGATGAGTTTGACACCCCTGATTTTCCCTTTGGCTGGACTGCAGCACTACCGCCTAAAAATTTGCCTCAAGCTTGAAGATGAATCCTTGATGAAGACTGTCACTGGGGACTTGGCAGACCCGCCTCTTGGGGTGGTCCATGAGCCCCCATAGGAGCAAAGGACCATTCCAGACTTCACCACCTTCTGCTCCAAGTGCTACATGCCTTGATGTCTCCTATAAAAGCACAACCGGTGATGGCGTGCGAGGCACGGCCTATGTTCTCCTTGTAGGGAAGGGGCGAGATAACCAATAACACATGACGGGGATCACCTTATTTACTGCACTACTGGAAACTGCTTGGAAACTGATTACAAATAAGGTAGAAGAACCTGAACAAATACAAAAACAACTTGGCTGCTGTCTTCTAGTCTCATTTATATACATGACTCCCGTTAAGCAACAAAAATGCGTGTTTGAAGGCATGTTCATTGGACAATGGGTTAATTAAGGAATATTTAAATCTATAATGTAGCTTAAGATACTGTCTTTGCTTCAGCATTGCTTTAGAAAAAGGAAGAAGGGACAGTCTTAGAAAAAGAGACACCAAACACATATCTTTATTTCAGTCAGTCAGTAAATCACTGCCTCTGCTAAGACTGGCCAACAGAAAGGGAGCTCACGCATTTGATAAGATGCTGCAGTGCTTTTGCTCTCCGTTCAGCAATATTTCTGAAGGCTTAAGACACATCCCATTGTTTTTGTTCTCAAAACCCTACTCGTGTACATTACTGCCAGACAAAAAGATCATTTGAAATTCTGTATTACAGCATGTTTCAGTGCGCTCGCTGCTCCTGACTCATGTTTTACAGGAAGAGTGCAGACAAGGTAAGCCAAACGGCCTTCTCTAAGTTTTTGGTTGATTCCTTTTTAAAACACAACCTTTAACCTACTTGAATTAAGAACAGTAGCAGCTGTCTCAGCTTTGTAAGTTAACAGAAGCACACTGGACAGAGACTTCTATTTGTATTTTCACTCTTCTCAGCTTTTTACTTTTAAGTGAAGCCATCTGCTTCTGGTCTGCTCTTTAAAATGACTGCAGCCTTGTGCCATGGCCAGTAGGTAGAGCTGCATTAGTTAAGCATATTTATTGGCAGAATCTGTTACTCTGAGCACTTGTGAAATCGTTGATGGTAGCATTAAAGTTTACCACCCACATGTAAAGGAAGCTGCTAGCCCAGGCAGTTTGTTTTGACAGAGTGGCTTGTTCCATTGTCCAGAGATGGATACAATCGTGGAGCTCTATGAACTTCTCATTTTTCACTAAGCCAAAATTCTTGTTATAGGGAATACAGCATAATTTGGGGGAAGATTTATTTTCACATTCTGGAGTGTTCTACCTAATTATACTGAAGTTAACCGTTACTACCTAATTCCAGTTAATAGAATCATGCCAAAAAAATGAGTCGTGCCTTAAAGTTGACTTTTTCTTCTGTCATAAGATACGCTTTTTATTAGAGAGAAACAGGGTAGAAGTAAATACCCACATGATACAACATGACTTTTCACATCAGAGATCATGACTTTGGGAAATGGATGACAAAACTACTGGAAACAAATGATAGAAAAACACCGCGGGACAGCTCATAACTTTCTGTAAGGAAAATAAAACGAAGGTTATTGTGAAAGTACTGTTTCAGAGACCACAGTGATGACAGAGATTTGATGCCTAGAGTAATTGCTAAATATCTCAAACTTCTGTACAGGCAAGTCACTGAAAAACAGTCCTATACATTTCATCTTAATACCACTTCATGGTCATGCTTACAGCGAGGGGGCTTTGGGCTAAGGGTTACTTACCCCACAGGAATGGGAGATGACTTGTCCACACAGATTTCACTCCTGATATACACATGCTGTTCCTACTGCTATTGTGCTTGACATGTCCTTCACTTCCTGCAGTATGGAAATAGTGCCAGGCCCTCACCTGCTATGTTTAGTTCCTTCAGCTGTAAGAATCAAGGTGAGCAGAGGCCTATTGAAGGAGCGATTGCAGGATCACCTGCCAGTCTTGCACGCCAGCCTGGAAGCCTACACAAGGCAATAATGAGCTCCGTGTTGCTACTCTGCCTATTTCTGATATGGGAACAATTTGCCAGACCACAGAGGGCAGAATGAGGCTACCTGGCTAGATCGGTCTCTCACTGACAAGGGTCTACCACATCTGAACACTACCTCAGACATAGGGTAACTTCTTTGATAACGTAAGACTTAACCCCAACCAAATTCCTAGCAATGGAAGAGATTTCTAATAAGTTGCTAAAATTAGGAGAGAAGCTGACTCCCCGGTAGGTCCACCTTGTTTCTCAACCTGCATGTCAAAAGTTGTGCGTCCCGAACTGCGGACTGAGGCAACAGCCAAAGAAGAGGCAGGTGACAATGCCACCTACGTACGCAGCCTCTTCCTAGGGGTGCTGAGGCTCATGGCAGTGCACAATGGCGGCTATTTCCTCCATCTATTCTGTTGCCTCAAAAACATCCTCCTTAGATTCAGCAACTACGGGTTGGTGTTTGGATGATTTCATGCATATAAAAGCTCCTTATCTGTCTCTCTGAAAATACTGCAGCATTCAAAAGGAAGGTTCTCAGTGGTAACAAGTACTTCAGGTAGGATTCCTGGAGCCTGTGGCTGGAAAGTGGTGACCATCATTCTGGCTCAGGTAGCCAGTGCACAGAGGGCTAATTAAAAAGCCTGTAGGACTGTAAGTTGTCCCTCTGCCTTAAAAGGCCTTTCAGGTCTTCTAGGGACTGTCATAACCCAAAGGTATGATTTTGTGTGTGCTTCGGCACTAGAATTATCCCCGCCAAATTGCAGCTTCGTTACACGGTAGAGTTTTCTGCTGCAGAGGAGAACCCCGGTGCAAGGAAGTTTCCCGCCTATTTGCAGCTTCCTTTGCAGAGTGCATTGCTCAAGTTGCAAGAGAAATGCACGGTGCAAAGGAGTTCCCGCCACCCGCATGCAAATTTGTGTCCCGCTATTGGCTAGTTCTAAATTATTCCCATGTGGCGGCTAACGATTGGCCTTTTAGCCGTAAAAGAGGCTTGAGCGGTTTCCGCCAAAGCCGAAGAGGACTCCACATCCATCTTGTGGGGACTCTGGGTACACGGCAGGGTAACGGAGACCCTGTGTGAGATTCAGAGGAGTTTGGTGACCTGATCCATCGCCCACCTCTTCCCGTCTTCGAGCGATAGTTTTATAAGACGTATTTACGAAGTTCCGTTTTGGTGGCGCGCTTGTTCAGGGCATCCGGAGCCCTGTTTCCATGGAGCCTAGCAAACTCCACGTGACCGTTCGTGTTGTTTTTGTCTGTAACCGCAACTCAAGCAAGTTTTCCAGCCTGCACCACTGCCATCTCCGGTGTAAGTAAACAATCTTTAAATCTACCGCTACGAGTCTGTGCCTAATTCTAGCTTGACGCGCGCCCTCTCCGACCCGGCGTGCCCGGGCTGCTGGCCACAGTCCGCGCAGAGCACAAAAAAGGGCCCGGCTCGCACCCGGCCCACACAGGGACCTCAGAAAGTCTGAACACCAAGCTAGGAAGCCCCCTCCAAAGCAAGAGGTCACAGTAAAATATACCCGATAATTTGCTTTTCTCATGCAGAGGCCTGTCATGGAGGAGACTTTCTTTCCTTCAGAAGAGGCTTTTGGTGTCCTAAGGGAGGACTTTGGGCTTTGCCAGTACTGGAGGGGAGAGAGGTTGGTAGAAATATTTGGACCTCTCCATCTAGCATGGAACTGCAACAGGTGCTGGTGCCATGGGATCTGCACTGGCTCACATGGTACAGATTTATTTGCATCACCTGCCATCCTGAAGAAAGTTGCAGCATATCTACCAGTTTATGCTGTTTCCTGTGTGTCCACTGAGCTCTTCTGGTGTTGGGGTGAATAATGCAGAAGACTTGGATGTGGTAACTGTCTGGCATCTTCATTTAGGGCTATGTTGTTTGATACTGAAGCAGTTGGTGACACGAATGTGGGCTCTGGCAGTGTGTGTCGTGTTTAGAAGTGGTTGTCAGGGCTGGCTTCAGCTTTCCTTTTGTACAGGACTCAACTTTCAACATTCTGGATGTCTGGGTCTTGGGGAAGGCTTCCATTCCCACTCCTTGAAGGGGAATTGGTGCTAGTGCTGTTCCTGAGCCCTAGAGCCTAAGAGACCATCGCTGGTATAGTTGAAACCTAGGTCTTGTGAGAAGTGACAGGGGAAAGGTAGCTTCTCAGCCAGTCGATATGCTGGCCAGATGTCTGAAGTTTCTCATGCAGTCTGCCTGGGTCAGAGGTTGCTCGAATGGGAATGTTGCAGCACAAAGGGCTCCACCTTCACCTCTAGACTTGTTCATCCTCTTGGGAAAGGACTTGCGGATGCTGCAGCCCACTGGTGTGTGGCCTTTGCTAAGGCACAGCGAAGAGGAACCGTGGCCATCACTGATCAGCACAGCACCAGCAGACGGGCGGGCAGGTTAGCGAATCAAGCACTGCCTTTCTGAGGACACCCTGAATGCAGCAGGAAGACATCGCTCTACTCCTGTCTATGATGAAAACAGCTAAGGGGCAGACTGAGTTCATCAGAAGGCAATAACTAAAAGCTTTAAAGACTTCAATCCTAAAGCAAGGTGTGGAACAAGCAATGCAGATGCTACATTCCTGGTTTCTTGATGCTGTGGGCAATAAGGAGTTGAGCTTTAAAAAAAAAAAAATGTACACTCTACCATGCACACTGCATGTGCACAGCCCAGTGGGCACTGCTTTTTTAAAAGACTTGGTATAAAGCACATGCGCACCAAGAATCTTCAGCTCCCGACTGCTCAACCTGTTGCAGAAGGATGAAGGGAGTTTACATACTGCCAACTTTCTGCATGTTGATAGGGTTTTCCGGTGTTCACTTCCTGACCTCCCAGCCCAAAGAGTCTAAGTTGAACAGTTAAAAAAACAAACAAACCATGCATTTGAGAAAGTAAGAAGTATGTAAGTAAGATCTCCCCATCCCCTCTGGAAACTCAGAGAGAGTCTCTGGGCAACAAGCTGTCTAGGAGCTCCTTCCGCGAGTGAATGGGATTTGGAGGAGGAAGTGAAAGGCTACAGGCCCTGCTCCTTCATCTGCTGAATATGCTGGATTCATGGGAGGCTAAGGCCATCTGCACCTTTTCTCCAGTGAGTCCTGGCTTCTTGACTAGCATGGGTCATTGAAGGCCAACCTATGCCCTTCACTGATTGAAGAGTTCCCAAGACCTCAGTGCTTACAGAGAAAAGCAAACCCCATCCTGGGCTTCATCTCATCTGTCTGATTTCTACATGGCCTTCCTGCCTTCCTCTTTTTACTCAGCATGAACACCAGGCCAAACAGACGGCCCCTACTTCAACATCTTGAAGCTTGAAAAACTGTTGAAGAGTCTCACTTCTGTGCACCAGGACGTGTTGATCTAGTGATCCGGATCAGGCCCATTCTGTTGGGAGCCAGGGTGCTATTAAATCACAAAGCAAATCGTAAAACTAACTTCCGTTATAGGAATCAACTTCAGAAGGATTTCAAAATAAGTTTTAAATATCTACAATAGACTCCTAGAACTGGAAAGTGCCCTCAAGGGTCATTTAGTCCAGGTCCTCTTGTGCACACAGTTCTATTTGGGGGAGACGTGCTAGATTCATGATATACAGAAGACAAGGTATCTTTTTCATTTCCACTTTAGCTTTTCAACCAAGAACACTGCTGGTTTGAGTGTCCCGTTGCAAAGGGGCCTTAACACATGAGTAAGTTACAATGCTCGCTTCCTGAAGTGTGCTGCCCTTGCAACTTTGCGCTGCTAGAGAGATGGACAATCATTTTCACAAACACGTTTAATACAATATGCAAAGGAGAAATCACAAGAAATTTGCTACCGGTGCAAAGAGAACTCTTCCTCCTTAAATCAGAAGTGTACCTTATGGAAAATTTGCAGTTACTCTCTCAAAAGACAAACTTGGGTTTTTCTCTTTATGAAATCCTCAGCTCCATGTTCTCATCCTGAAATGGGTTTAGACAGTTAAAAGGTGACCAGCACACAACCAATTCATACGTCCCCCCCAAAGCTAAACTTCTATATGAAGGAAAATGTAATCCTTTAAAGCAAATTTATTTGGGATATTAAATCAGGGCCTCTTATGAACTTCTGGACAATTTACAAGTTTAATGAACATTCTCATGCATCAGCTTCTGAAACTTAATTGTTGAAAACACTGCAAAGAATTAGTCAGACACAAGTGGGTGTATGGAAGTGCTGGTGAGAGGCGGGTGGTATTTATCATGCATTTCTGATCATGTAACATACATGCTAGCCAAAAGTACATCTTGATGTACATAGGCCTTGATCATTAGAGTCAAATATCTGTCGTTAAAAAATCTGTGCACCACAAACGTATTTCCATCTTTGCCCCAAAGATTGCACTGCACCAGGCCAAGAACAGGAAACATCCAGTCCTTGAATACATGACGAGTGTAAGCTCTGGTATTTTAAAATCCCTCGAGCTGGAAATGTGTGCTTTATACCATGGGAGGGCTTGTCAGCTTTCCAAAAGGGGCAGCTGCTTCTAACGCAGGGAGGTTGCAACAAATTAGGATTTTTAAATTCACGGCTCTTCCTGTATAGAAAAATTAGGAAATTTTAAGAAGCTTCTAAGAGTTATTTTCTCTCTTTGAAGCCTATGTAACAAGACTGACAGTCCCAAGGAAGTCTGGTTTTATAAAACAAAAAGTGACATTTCAGTCCCAATAATGCTGAGACAGTTCTAAGTCTTAATGTAAATATAGAACCGAGTGCCCAGTAGTTTATAAAATGCTTTATGGTGTTATACATGGCTTGTGCAATTAAGTTTTCTAAAGCTTGTACTGTTTCTAAGCATCATGCCGCCACATGGCTGGTAAGGGATGTTGGTTCTACAATATTCTGTACGTGGATTCTCAAGGAACTTTAAAATTAAACATAATTACGACATTTAGTATTATGTAACACCTTGTCTTCAAAATACTTTGTAAACATTAAACTAAGGGCCACCTATAACAAGAATACAACCATGCCATATATGATGGGAGCTTACGTTAAAAATGCAAAATAGGTCTAGGCTGAAAGAATCCAAGTCGTATGCCACGTATGGGCCACAGTGTATGTCGATTAGGAAATGACTGTTGCAGCCAGGTTGCCTAACATAGTTTGAGATAATATTTAATTCAAAACAACATTACCAAGTAGGAAGCAAGCATTATCTTCATTTTACAGCTGGAGGAACTGAAGCCCAATGGAAATCATTTTCAGAGGTGGGGCTAGGCCCTCGGTGATCTTAATAGTGCAGTCTACCACTTCCTGTGACACAATTTGGTCCTAGGCTGATGTAAATTATTTCTAGCACAAGATTCACTTTGAAGCTCTGAATTATAAATCCAGAATTTGGATTAAGGGCCTTCAGTTATGGAACTGCAAATCTCTTACGCATCAGCATTGTGCCTAAAACTATTAAACCAATTAATGCATTTCTTATAATTGCACATACCTGCTCTAGGCTGAAGTCTGGTTTTTTTGGAATGTTCTTGTAGAATCAATTCTAACTTCAGCCCTTGACACCTTTTTGTTATCAGTTTATTTAACAAGTATTTTAATAAAAGCATAGGTTTAAGTTTCTCTTAACATGGTAAGTATATCAGCGTTAAAAGTTCAACTATATACAAAGTGCCTAGAAAAGCATTCAGCTCAGTAACCAGTCACTTCAATTCTGCTTCCAAATCTTTCATAATCAAGTCTTATAATAAATAAAGACTAATACCAAACATGAAAAAATGTTTAAAAATTGTTCATTTGCCAATTTTAACAAGGAAAAAATCGGATTATAATACTTGACAACATGGACATTACGTTTTATGTAAAAAATGCACAGAAAGAACACACATGGAATGATAAAAAAGGAACAATGGTTTACCACTGAGAATATTGCACAACTTCAGGTCTTTCCTCTCCGATTTGCTTCATGTAATTAAGTACATATGAATTCAGTAAAAACTTCTGGCAAGTTCACTGTGTAACTATTTAAATGAACCTGGTACTATAGATTGTTTTAAACACCTTTTGAATACCATATCGACTACATCTACAGTGTAGTAAAGTGTAGATTTTAGCGGCAGGGCTAATAAATAAACCAATATGCTGATTCTGTATTCTACTGACTGATCTTTTAAAATTATTCATGACAGATGCAATTCCTCTCTCTTTTAAGTACACAGACTCTTCCGAGTACTTGTGTGTTTAAATACAAATGGTTGGATCAAGGGCTCAAAATGGTATACGCAAAACAATCAAGAACATTCCCTGATTTTTTGCGGTTAACTTGAGGCTGCATCTCATTTTACAGGACTAAGACTTCTCCATGTATCAGCTTTACATCAAATGTATAAAAGTCACAGTAGAGTACATTTAAGAAAAATAAACACGTGCTAAATGGATAAAAACATTTACAGCTACAATCTTTGCTAGACTGTCTCTACCAACCACATACCTTTTTGCTTCAGAAATGTAGATATTTGTATCACTCTTACTTCAGCTGTACTTTTTCTCCTTGATCACCGCTATGAACTTCTGTGTCTATATGAATTTTGTATTCATGTGCAAAACAAAATACAGTTTTCTTATATCTGGTTTCATATCTGCTTGGTAGACAAATGTCAGCCAGCAGGACTTAACAGATACATTTCATACAGAGACCAAGATACAGTATGTTTATTCTTAATTTTGATAACCTAAGAAGAACTACAGGAATAAGAGATGCAGTATCCTTTTACTATCATCCAAGACAAGTATTTTATAGGGGAATGAAGGGAAAGGGGGGACGGTGATATTCAACAGTGACATTATATTTTGAAAATGGGACATAGTGTTCTGGATTACTTTATAGCTACGTTATCATCATGTCTTTAAGCACAGGTGTCCACCTTCAAGTTGGTAAATCAAAATGTAGATACTCAAAGTATACTTAAGTTTAAGGATCATGGTCTGATCGAACCTGAAGCAAATTAGGGAAAAACAGAAAAAAAAATACCATCAGACTGGTTTAGCATCCTCACATGAAACCATCGCTTATAGAAAATGGATAGTGCATCTCAGTTTGCTTACAAGCTAGGAGATCACTTTGAATTCTGCATAATCCTAACTGCAAACAAAATATAGCACTTTTAACAGGTTATAAATAAACTGGTTTTCAAGCGTAGAGCCAGCCCAACAATAACAATACACTATTAAAAAGACCTAAGGCAATGGATTCCATTTCCAATGGAAAAAAAAAAGAACTGTGCAAACAAGCTTAAAACTATTTCTTTGTGCCAGTGTTATAAAATGTAGTTTTTAATAAAGCCTTGACCCAGATGCCAGGAGATTGTGAATAGAATGAGAGCAAAAACTATTACTTTATTTAAGGGGAAAAAAACAACCCCTTATCTCACTTCTAATAAAATCTGATACAGGCAATTTAAACACTTTTAGCTGCTGTAACACTTTACACAATTCCTATATATGGGTGTAAGAACAAGCGTTAGAAGATCATTATATTTTTTAGGAGTGGGTCAAGGCTTTACATAAAAATAACTTCCTACTTTTTCTATAGTCTCTAAAATATTATGCATTTCTCCAATGTTTGCAGCCTTTCAGGAATTTTTAGGAAATGTACTTTTTTTGTGCATGATCTTAATTCCTAATCCCTGGCTCTTTGGGGCTGAATGACAAAGGATCAAACCCATTAAAATGGATGGTTTCCTTGACGGGTCAGAGGATAAACCCTGGCTCAGTTAGTCTCATATGACGAAAGCAGTGCTGCATCCACTGGCTCCATGCAGGAGGGGCACGTAAAGGATCTCATCAACCAGTCATCTATACAGTCCAGGTGGTAAATGTGCATGCATGGCAGGAATCGGATAGGGTCCCCATAAACAAAGTCCATCATACAGATCACACACCTGGGGAAAGAGAGGCCAGAGAAGTAGTAAGATGCTTTCCTGTTAGCCAAAGAGAAGTGTTACCCACCCTGCCAAGGAAATATGTTTGCTGAAGGAGAAGACCAGGGCCAGGATTATTCATACAACAATATTTGAATGCAGTGTATGCTCCCATCTTCCAAGATCCCAACACCATTTATGTCATCAAGAATTCAAATAAAGGTGAACTTGGAAAGGCAAATGGACTGTTTCCATAGTCTAAATAAAGAGTAGTTTGAGGAAAAATCTGCAACAAAATTACAGGCTTGCTAGCACCATGTCCAAAAAGGACCTGGGGGTTATAATTGACCATAAAATGAATATGAGCCACCAGTGTGATGCTAGTTAGCAGAGCAAACAATATGCTGGCATGTATCAACTGATGCATCTCAAGCAAAACTAGGGAGGTTGTTCTCTGGCTCTACTCATCATTGGTGAGGCCACAGGTGGAGCACTGCATCCAGCTCTGGGCACCACACTTCAAGAAGCATGTGGAGAAGCAGCTTGAGAGAGTCCAGAGAAGAGCCACTCATATGATCAGAGGCCTGAAGAGCCAGTCATACAAGGAAAGGCTGACAGATCTGGGACTGTTTAGCTTAGAAAAGATTTTGAGGGAATTTGGTAGCAGCTTACAAATATGAGCATCAGGGGCTAGGTGAACAACTATTCAGCAAAGCACCCCAAGGGAAAACCAGGAGCAACGCTCATAAACTCCTACAAGATTTCAGACTAGATATCAGAAAAAACATCTTCACAGTTCGTGTGACCATACTCTGGACTAGACTCCCAGTGAGGGTGGTGCAGGCACCTACCCTGGAGATCTTCCAAAAGGGGACTGGACCCACACCTTGCTGGGGTTATTTGACACCAGCAGTCTTTTCTGCACAGAGCAGGGGGGCTGGGCCCGATGATCTCATGAGGTCCCTTCCAGCCCTAAACATCTGTGAATCTGAGAGATGAAACTCAGCTCATTTTTTAGCTTGGGAATGGATGCACGCTCTGGACACCAAGCTCCTGTTGCCGACTTTGGAGAAACTTAAAAATTTCAATCAAAAGCCAGTATGCGAAGGTGAAGTAGATCTGCTTCTTGTACCATCAGGGGCATCACAAGTCAGTTTTCATCCTGAGCCAGTTCCTTTAATCTGCTCAGGTTGTTAACCGCTAAAGTTGCTGCTGCTCTGGGACTGAATAATGTGTCTATCCCTCTGAACAGACTCTCCTTCCTTTTGCCATCAGGCTGCCGAAACCAGGCTTGGTTCAAGAGCCTGTTGTCTGGCCTCTCCTGTAGATGACCCAGGAAAGTTCACCTGTACTTTCTGTGCAGCTGTCATTTTACCCCGTCCAAAATCTCCGTGTTCACTATTCTGTGTCAGTATGAAATGAGTGTGTTAATATCAACTCCTATTCTTTGGCATTATAATATTTTTCCCAACAGAAGTTTTCAATAGTAAATTTGCTATGGAAAAGCTGACAGCAAACTTTGCGGTCAAAAAATAGTAAAAATAGTTACAGATTAGAGAAGCAGTGGGGAAAGACCAAAGTGGTAACTCTTGTTCTCCTCTGCCA